AACTGTATGGTAGTCTCAAGTTTTTTATGCTAGAGTTGGCGAATCGTTCATTTGTATCACGTTTTCACTTCAAGAAATTGAGTGGAGTTCAATAATATACAGGGTGTTTCAGTTTATTGTTGCATAACTTTAAGATTCGATAGAACTTTTAAAATTAATGCACAAAGTCTATATAAACATGGGTCGAAAAATGCGTGGCTTCCGAAATACAGGGTGTTAAATTTACTTTCTAAAATAGTTTTTTTTAGATATTTCGATCAATATTTGATGTATAACAGTGAAAATTGGTATACAAGGGTTACCATGGACATAGTTTTACTGTAGCCGCTAGAGGTCGCTCTCTACTATACCTGTAGTGTATTAAAATGACCGAAATTTTTTTCTTAGTGCAATATTTTGCTTTTTGAATAGAAAAACTGATTCTTCGCACTTTTTTGCATAAAAAGCTCTCCTGTGAGTTTTCGTTATAGTTAGCCGTTTTTGATATATTTCGATTTTTAAGGTTCGATGCATTTTTAATTATTTATGGGAAAATAATATTTTTTTTACATTTTCGATTTGGGCATTACAAGTAATTAAGATGATCGTTTAGATTGTGTTTTTAAACACAGCAATAATTCCTAACTCCAAATAAACACAAAAAAGAGAATATTAATTTGTTTAATTTTCCAATATTATTTTTAACAGATTAAATTAATTATTTACAACTAAAATGCTATTGGATAGTTAGGACAAACATACAAAATCTAAAGTAGTTGCTCGAAATATAAACCCAATTGTTCAATACACAATTCACATCTACGAATGATCGAACGTGGTATAGCATTATTCAAATAAGGCCTTATTTCATCACATGTATTCCTGATTCTGTCTATTAGCATATCTCTTGTGGTTACGAGAGTCTGGTACACTTTTTCTTTTAGAAATCCCCACACAAAGAAATCTAATGGATTTAGGTCAGAGGGTCGTGGAGGCCAGGCGACTGGTCCTCCACGGTCGATCCATCTTTCTGGATAATTTTCGTCCAGCCAGTTTCTAACTATTCTCGAATAATGAGCTGGACAACCATCAAGCTGGAACCAGGCCAATCTTCTTAAATCCAACATAACATCATCCCACATATTTGCATGTTCAGCCTTTAAAAATTCCATGAAGGTCGCAGCATTTAACCTTGCAGGCAAAAGGTAGGGTCCAAATAGTCGATTACGGTAGATACCAATCCACATATTCACACTAAATTTATGCTGTAAATTTCTTTCCCGAACTGCATGCGGATTTTCATGCGACCAAATATGTTGATTATGAAAATTTACCACTCCACGTCTAGTGAAGCATGACTCATCAATCCATAAAACGTTACTTAAAAACTCCCTATTATTATCAGTTCTATCAAGAATAGACTGACAAAATGTGATTCTTCGTTCTCCGTCCCCTGGCTGTAGTCCTTGCACAGGTTGCAAATGGTAAGGACGTCTATGGTCATTTCTAAGAACACGGTGAACATGGCTTGCTGAAATTCCCAAGGCACCAGAAACTCTCCTAACACTTGTGGTCGGATCTCTATCAAACTCACGCAGGATCATACGGGTAAATCTGCACTGACGAACATTTATGTTTTGATCCCTTTGGAGATTTCCAAAACCATTTTCAATTATTTGGCGATGCACTCTTACAAATACTGAGCGAGTTGGATGTCGTCTGTTTGGAAATCTTCGTGCGTATTCTCTGGCTGCTTCTGCTGCGTTTCCATTTACAAAGCCATACACAAAATGAATATCCGCTAACTCTTGATTGGAGAATAAAAATGGCATTTTTATAAAACTTATAAAAAAACAGGTAAAAGAAACTAAATTTCGTGCATTCACAATTGCAAAAAAACGTTTCAGGTTTCAACAGACAACAAAACTAACTGTCAACTAATTGACGTTTAACCTTATTCTGCTTTCAATTTCAAAAATATTTGCAGGCACAGCCTACTTCTAAAAATTATCGAGATTCTGACTTTTTAATGTTATTTTATCATAAATAAATAAAAATGCATCGAACCCTAAAAATCGAAATATCTCAAAAACGGCTAGCTATAACAAACATTCACAAGAGAGCTTTTTTATGTTAAAAAGTGCGAAGAATCAGTTTTTTTGTTCAAAAAGCAAAAAATTGCACTAAGAAAACATTTTCGGTCATTGTAATACACTACAGGTACAGTAGAGAGCGCCCTCTAGCGGCTACAGTAAAACTATGCCCATGGTTCGTTTTGACGTACCAGAAAACCCTTGTATACCAATTTTCACTGTTATACATCAAATATTGTTCGACATATTTAAAAAAGACTATTTTAGAAAGTAAATTTAAACACCCTGTATTTCGGAAGCCACGCATTTTTTTTTAAAAGTTCTATCGAATCTTAAAGTTATGCAACAATAAACTAAAACACCCTGTATACCCTATTTCACGAGTATCCATCACGGTAGAATGACAGCTAGTATCTAGTAATATCTCAAAATTCCCCATATCGACTCAGGGCACATAATTCTGAAGGATCCGTCAACGTCAGGTAGTCAGAGCCGTATTTTGTTTCTATTTTTTGTACGCTTCAGATTCATTTGGACTTGCTTACAGCTCTTTTTGCATACAAAAAACAAAACATTACAAACAAGTTTTACTAGATTTATACCCTATTCATTATTGCCAACATTGCAGACTAACACAAAAATGTCACATACTGATAAGCTGTTCACCTCAGTAAATGTTAAAGCGTGATGGATACTCGTGAAATATAGTATATAGAACCTACCACTCGTACTGAAGCCCGTCGATGTTCGATATCACTTCGCTGAATACAATATAGGTTAGCAACGGGACTTTATGCCATAAATATGCATGGCTTGTCAAAAGGTGGTACAGCGACAAATTGATACGCATTTTTGTTGTAGCGTCATTTTGATAAATGATCACATATCCAAGTGTAGTTTCTCTTTTTATCCACTTAATAGGTTAGTGTCTAACCGGTTTATTTTAAATTAAATTACCGGGTTACTATGTCATTATGAATACCAGAGTAGTTACTGATCAAGGATATGAAACACATCAATTTTGTCAGGTGATTATAGGTGCGTAGAACCAAGATTTCTTGATCTAAATCCGATCTATAAGCTACAAGTTACAAGTGCGATACGATGAAGCCATTAGAAGCAAAAATTTTCGATGATTTTCTGTAAACAACTTTTCTGTGTTTCAATAATTTGTGCTAAATCAAATACTCTTTCATGAAGATTTTACCTTAGACAGGAGAAGGCTTTTACCTATAGGAATGCAATGCTGACTCCTTCATCCGCCCGTCTCAGCATCTAACAGCTTTATTTCGGAATACAGGGCGAAATACAGGCCATTTTCATTTTTCAACTGAAACCCCAGTCTTTTTGATACGCCTATGCGACCACATCTTCCAACTCACCATCTGACGCGTCAGCTGTTCTCATTTCTTTATGCCTGTCTCTTCTCTTTCATTGTCCGGCATTTGTGGTCAATGGTATTCTGGAAGGAATCCGAGAAGGCCTGAACCCATGTTAGAGAAAGACCAGAAACCAGCAGACAGGCCGATATCCCCAAGAGCATCGAACCTTTGTGGGTCCGACGCGACCGTCTCACGTCCATGTAATATGACACGCATGCGTCGTTGCCAAATTGCTGTTTTTTACATATTTCAGTCTACCTTTCGATGTCAACAGGCGTAGGTTTCAGAGTCTTGATACGTCAATAGCAATTTAGAATATTGTGTTTGCGTTAATATTAATCTGTGAAACCTTAGGGTTTGGCGAATATCACACGATCACGATTTACTGACGATTCATTGTCAGTGAATTGCTACACAATCCTGTCTATCAATAATTACAGACTAGACGGTCAATATCACATTCTAAGATAAATGATGAAGGATCACCGTAGGACATACAGAATAACGATGCAAATAATTTTAGAAAAAAAGATATTTCCAAACAAACCCGGGTAAATTGTGCAGAGCGTAAACGCATGTCACTTTGACAGATTCTCTCTGGAGATTATCAGTTTATTCAACTCAAGTCACTCAAGTCATAGTTGGTTGTCAGAGCGGTCTAAGGCCCGTATCGTCAGTCGTCCCTACAATTGTAGGGCGCCTTTATGGCCTCCTTGATTGTCATAGTTTTCTACTTCTCCCTGTCAGCGCTCTATTTTGAGGTTATCTCACAAACATCTATTTGCATCAAATTGTGCTTGCTTTTGAGTTATATCATGTTTTATCAGCCTGAAATTTCCTACAATTTAAAAAGAAAACGTATCTTCACAATAGGAGAGCGCTGACGCTGACACGGGACAAGTGTAATCTAGAAATTAGAGATAGGCAGAAACGTCCATCCTTAGCACTGGGCAATTTTGGTTATAGAGCGAGCCGCGAACTTGCTCGACTGTGATCATGTTATTCATGCTACACGGAAACATGAAAAAACGGAACAGAAATCTTATAGTTTTTTAGATCTTATATGTCATAATGTGGTGCCTTTGGAGCTACAAATAACCGATTAGAAATAGAATTCAAAAGGGGCAATGAATTTGTCATGGACCAACGCACACCCGATTATTTCCTCTGCTCTCTGTAGCTGTCTGCCCAGTCTGGTTATCGTCTTGGGTAACGATCTGCTGCAGTACTCAGACTTCTGAAAATCTGTGCATTGATATTGGATTAGTGAACAAAATGCTGAGAAAATACAGTAAACGGTTTTCATAAACAACAAAGCATGACAATCCGCATTTTTAAATCTGTAACCGTTTAAGTATTTAAATACGAATTTACAAGTGATCGTACTTACATGCTACCTATGTATACTAAGTGACATATAAATCCGAACACCCAGTTTAAATGGTTTTATTTTAATAAAATTTTGTATAAGTACTTAATGAGGCATAATAAGTAAATGATAAAAATTTCAAAATGATTGCACTGCTTTAAAGCCCTTTGACCTTTCTTAATGTGTGGATGCACCCTGATGTGCTACACCTTCTCCAACGCGCCTAGGCATGCGTCTGATCAGGTGGTCAATGTCCTCCTGTGGTATCTCATTCCAGGCAACCACCAACTGCTCTCGAAGTGCTTCTAGAGTCTGAGGAAGACGTTGCAAATTGAGCAATCTCCTACCCATCATATCCCACACGTGCTCAATTGGGGATAAACCGGGAGATCTTGGTGGCCATGGTAACAATGTGAAATCATTATGTTGAAAGAAGTCTATTGTGACTCTTGCAACATGTGGTCGGGCATTATCTTGTTGGAAAGTTGGATCTGCCAGGGTGTCAACATAGGGGAAAAGATGGGGTTCTAGAACTTCGTGGATATAACGCTGCGCGTTCATGTTACCTCTGATGAAGATTAAAGGTGACCTGGAACCATAAGCTATAGCACTCCAAACCATAACTCCAACAGTGTGATGAACATGTCTTTCAACAAAAAACTGTGGATTCCTCCTTTCACCACGTCGCCTTCTAACCCTGGCACGACCATCGTGCATGCCTAAACAAAATCGAGACTCGTCACTAAAGACAATACTGTTCCATTCCTGATCCCAGAGTGACTGTTGTCTGCGCCACTCAAGGCGATTACGTCGGTGTTCTCGAGTTAAAGGGAGGACCCAGTGTGGCCGGTATGAAAACAAGCCAAAACTTCTCATTTGTCGGTAAACACTTCCGTGTTCTGCAAACCATTCATTTGCAATGGACCTGGTAATGGAGAATCGGTCCCTTAAGGCCAATAATCTTAGGCGGCGATCTTCACGGTCTGTTGTTGTACGGCGGCGTCCAGTGCCCCTTGCTCTTTGCGTACGGCCTTCTCGAAGCCATGCCTGACAACACCTAACTACAGTGTCTACACTTCTTTGCACTCTAACTGCAATTGCCCGAAAAGAAAGTCCAGCTTCCCGGAGTCCCACTATACGGCCCCTATCAAACTCACTAAGTTGACGAAATCGTACAGGTCTCCGTACTCTAGGCATCGTAACCGATCGTAAAGGATGTCAAGAACCAAAATCCGCCAACGTTGATTCTTTACTGCGGCTGAAATATTCATTTTTAGAGCGTTAGTGAATTAAAAAAAAGCAGTATAGAAACCGGAATGTCCAACTGTTAAGGCTGAAAATTTTTTCAATTGTTATTTACAGTAAGATAAATACATTCACCAACTTTTATTAAAATAAAACCATTTAAACTGGGTGTTCGGATTTATATGTCCTTAGTATATATGCTATATATGCTATAACTAAGTCATTGCCTTACACGTCTCAAAGAACTGTTAATAGCGCCTATTGTTTTAGGACATTTTATTGCTGATCAGTTAAGTAGCTTTAGTAACATAATATGCCCTTGTTCAGGTCACCCTGACCTTATTACATAATACATCAAGTATCTCACCAGAAATGCTAGTATACTGACAGTTTACGACATATTATAGTTTAAAAATAGTAGCTGATACACATTCGTACTTCAATTCGGTATGTATGGGTTTCACGATTTTTCAAATGTAAATTTTGACATACATTACAGAAAATGAAACAAAGTCTTATAATCTGCGAAAACGGTATTGACCACAAGACTGTATATAAGTAGCTTAAAAATTTTATCTATAGCTATATCAAATAATATTCCATTTTTGATTGCCATTATCTTCAGTATTTGCAAACTAACAGATGCAATGCTTTTAAAAACAAAAACCAGATATCTGAGAACTTAGGTAGGTGCGTTGGATTTCTTCATATTTCATCCAAAGCTGATAAACTGGCGTCTTCTGCTTCCCCTTCAAGGAATTCTTTCTTTGCATATAACCTTATGAGTGATCTAGACATAGCAAAGGAAAGCTTTCTACCGATTAAAGGACTAATAGGAAAGGGCGGATCTAGATTTTGACTCGGGGGGTCTCGTCTCCTTTTCTGTTTTCTGTTGGAACGATTTATCGCTTCTTCTAGATCGACTACATTTTTGTGCACCTAAAGAAGTGCCAGTCCAGTTAGGCGGTCTTCTTTCATTATTGCAAAAGAATATTAATGGTTGATCCCGATTCGCTTGGGGGAAGGTCATGACCCCCTCCCCTTTATTGATCCTTGCAAATACGTCAACCATTTAAACTTAAAATCGGTTAGCGTATTTGCCTCTTTCGCACCCTCTTATCCGTGATGCTTCTATTTCAAATTTCAACAATCTTGATTAGCACTCAACAGTTGGCGCTAATAATCTATTTATCTAACACATGATGTGCACCTTTCACCTGTGTATCACTTGCACACTGATTTTATGCCAGTTTGCATTTAAAAATGCATCGGAGGAAAACGAATGCAATACGACACTGTCTGACTGAAGTGCAAGGTCGCGCGTTTAGGAAAACTATCACTGCATTGGTACCTTTGACGTCATTGTGATTCTTGTAATGTAGTGAAGAAATCGTACGCGTGTATGTTAGTAAAAATATTTAGTAGTTTTCAATAACATTCAGTTGTTGCAGATTTTGTCTTTGGTATTGTAATACCACCATTTATTCAATGTCAACTGAATACTACTTATAAAATGTACTTGTTGCCTGTCCGCTATTTTTGTAAATCATGATATGCCGAATGAAGTTTATTTCCGGATCAAACAAAACTCCAAATCCACGGCACGGAATTGACAATTTAACTTTACTCCTTGGATGCTGTAATGAAAAGAAAACACAGCTTTTTTCTGGAAAATGTAATCGTCTTACACTTTGCCACATTGAAGAAAAACGTGCTGACCTCATTTCACCTGTTTTAGATCAGGCAACGTCGCATTCTAAGCTCACAAACCTTTTCAGAAAGCCGCAGGTTACAGGACGCCTCTTTTATTATAAAAGGTAGGTAGTTTTAAATGACTTTACTGTTTTTCTGTATTCTCTGTATTCTCCACGAAGATTAATACATTAATACGGCATTTTTGAATACGTCAACTGCTTCTTCTGGTGACTGGAACCTTTGACCACGCAGTCTGTTTTTAATTTTCGGGAAAGTAAAGAAATCGTTAGAACTTAGATCGGGACTATATGGAGGAGGGTCCAATAATTCCACGTTTTCTTCCGTTAAATACTGCCTTGTTTTTTGGGCTGTGTGCGAGCTTGCATTGTCTTGGTGGAGGATGATTCTTCTTTCTGGGTTGATTTTTCGAAGCTCGGTGATGATTTTTGGCAAACAAATGGAGGTATACCAATCCGCAGTAACAGTTCTTTGCTCATTAAGAGGAATTGTTGCAATATGACCCGCTTTTGACACAACTGTCGCGACCATCTTTTTCGAAACATTTCAAATACGGATGACTTTTGTTGGCTTTTCTTCACCTTGGAACACCCAAATAGCCGACTCTCGTTTATTTTCTGGTTCATAACAGTAAACCCACGATTCATCACCACTTACAATGCTGTACGCATTTTTTGTTTCCGGAATTGAAACGGTCAAGCGTTTTTTGACACCAATTAACCCTGGCTGCTTTCTGCTCTTCAGTCAACAGGTGGGGTATCCAGTTACCAGAATACAGTTTTTGTAAATAAATGATATACTACGATAGATTACTCTAAGTAATTGGGTCAAAAGTTTAGTTCCACTGGCACCTCTTGCTATAGGACAATGTCGAGTTTTTATCCTTAGATCATAATCTGTCTTCATAAGGGTCTTCTCGCGAAATATCCATCTGTTAGCATGTAATATTTGAAAGCTTAGCTCTTTTTTAATGCTGTGCGGTGACTCAACAGGTGTGCATTCATGTTCTTTGATTTTCTTTGCAAAACTGACAAAAGACATCTGCCAGGTTCAGTGTCGATTTAGTGTCATAATGGAAGAATCCCCATTATTGCATTTGAGCAAATCTGTAAATGCTGGCTCCCTTAGCCGTTTTTCTTTGCTTGTTCTTTGGTGGTCTGTCTTATGTATTTTTGACCAATTATGCGATAGTTTTCGATTTTTCGAGCTAGCTCTTTGTACCCTGTACTCTGTTTTGCTCGTCCAGCTTTCTAGGTAGTAAAATACGTAAGGGGGCAGGGGGGATCAAAAATAGTGAAAAATGCACGGTGTTTCCCGCCGCAAAAGTAAAATCTTGGCTCTTTTCTCGGAAAAGCACATCCATGCCATTTTAAAGCTTTTAAGGGTCAAACAACGCTTTCACTTTACAAGTTTAAAATAATTATAAAGCTGTAAATTCTCCTAGCACGGAAAGCAAGTGACCTTTTTTTTCAGGCAATACTATTCGCAGTCCGCAACTGAGCAATCTCGGTTAAAATTGATGAAAATAAAACTAGAAACTTTGTCTGATTGGAAATAGATAGATATATATTTCTTGACATTATGTTGACCACTTACGGTTTTGAAAAAGTCCCATTCTGTCTCTAGGCTGTTAACGTACTTTTCAACTACAATATAGAAGACTGAGCTCTATTTCAGCGTGCCATTTGACATTTCAAAATGTCACAGGCAATTCCAAAATGTGGTTCCAGCATGACAGGGCAAAGTAACACACAACTATAGAGACGACGAATGTTTTGTGAATAATGTTTTCAGAGCGTTTGATCTCCTTAGTAGGAGATATCATCTGGCATCTAAGGTCACCAGGCTTAATGGCCCCACATTTCTAAAAAACAATGATGCCAACAAACTAAATACTGTACAGCAATATTCGGGGGGCTATTCAAAATATTCTTCCCGACACCAACTCAAAATTCAAAATTAGTCTAGCATAAAGATTAGTTCATTCACATCTAAGTAACATTATGTCACCGCATTGAAGTTTCAAGCAAATAAAAACATTTAACCAAAGTTTTTAAGCTCACGAGTAGATGAAACTGTCTTGCTACATCTGAATCGTGGAGACACGCATCTCCCCCCCCCCCCCTGAGAAGTGCTGTCTAAGCTTTTGGCACCACCAGTTCTTCAATTTTCAATCTCCGGCAATCTGCCCCCCAACAAGATACATCTCTCTGAATATGAATCCTGGGATCACTATTGCTCCGTCACTAGACAAGTTCATCAACGGTCACTGCTAAGCGATGTCGCCATTCTTCGTAAGTGCTTTTTTTTTTCATCGACGGACAGTCCCGACATAGCGTTCGCCGCTGTCCAAAAGATCTCGCACTTTGTATTGCTGGTGGCATATCATGGTTGCATTTAGTTCCATGCAGGAGGGCGGTTATTGACATAGACAGAAACTGGTTTGACCACTCAGTGGATCTACTGTTAGTATTCTGTAAGCTTTGTAAGTTAATTGAATGTATGAGGCTGTTGTGCCTACCGCAGGTTGAATGTTTAGATGATCGGTTCAGTGACATTCTCAGACATGTTTATTCATCTGTACTGTGTACACGATAACGAAACGAATTAGACGTTGTGCAGCGATTTATCATCAGACATCGATGCAGGATTACTACGATTATTTACACACAAAAATGAGAGAATATGGAAGCGAAATATAGTGCTGGGAATAAATAACACGTAGGTCGTGTACCTCTTCGAAAGATAACAGGGTAGAGCCTTCAACTTTAGTTTATTATTATTGCAAATTGTACGCAGTAGCTGGTTACATCTATTACAGGAAATAGGAAGGTACAAACAGTTACTACTCGTCGCTTGTCTATCTGGGTGGTCATAGCAGATGGCCAATACAAACAGTTCACAGCTGGCGAAGATTTAAAGCTAGTACGCACTGGGATTCTTTGTTCGGAGTCTTTGTCGCAGGCGCTCGGATCCATCTCGGAGACTCTTTGCCCCACAACGTTATCGCTCTGGATTTTGGTGATTGCATAGAACTTTGCATAGCTCTACGGAGAAAAAAAGTGTAACAAAAAGCCAATGCTGGGTATTCGTGGGATATTAGAGGACCGGAATAAGCATGAGTACGGTCTTCTTGAGAGAGACATGAGATTGAAGGATGGAATAGTATTTTGAAATTTGTTTCGTAAGAGTCTGTTCAACGTATTTAGTTATATACTTTACATTTCTGGGCTAATTAGGACACAGCATTGTATTCACTAGCGAAAACATCCCTTAAACATAGCCGATTGGCAACTTCGCTATTAATTGCAATGTGGAATCTCCACATTATAACCAGAAACAACAAACAACAAAAGTACTGAACGCAACAGACGAGTTACAAAATTCATTACTGCGGAGCGCCCCGGATGCAAGAAAATTGATCCCAGATTTTTTTGGCCAAGGGTGAATTTAGGGCGTGTGCAATCGCCATCACCTCCCTTCCCTGTGTCTTGATGTAAACATTATCACAAGAGAATTTGGTCTCCTCTCAGAAGCAATGCTTAAGTGTGCAGCCACCCCCATCCTCTCGTTTAATTTTTAATCGCTGATAGACTCCCTCCCCTTGGACATCTTTCTGAACTTGAATATCCTGAAGACCGCTGTGCCTCCCACCCTGATGATACAAATTGCTTAATCCGCCTTTGTGTTTGGCTTGCACTATTGGATCTCTAAGATGGTGTGAAACATACTTGAAAATGAAGGCTTAGAACTTTCCAATTTCACGAAGTGAACACCGTCCAGATTCACAAATTCAAGAATACTTGCAATAGGTCTACAAATTATTATTGTTGGACAATTGGAGGTCCCCCGACGCGTCATTGCGTCCTCGCCAGCATCCTTAGTCAAACGTTTGACAACTTCGTAATTAGTGGCGATGCTACCAAACTGATGGTACATAAGGGGCAGCCATATACTTCACGCTGCAGACCCAAGAATACGCGAATAACTGAAGTCATCGAAAATACCAATAATAAATAGTCGCGGACTTTATATACACAGAATCTACCACAGTTCTCCCAAGGGTTCTCACCCTTGCATATCTTTAGCCACTTGACATAATATAAAGAAAGCATCGAAATCGAAATAATCTGACCATTACTATTTAATTCTCATCACAGGCGGCGGCGTCTGTAACATTGTCAAGGTTAGTTTGGATATAGGCGCTGGCGACGTCGCCAAGGCGTCTCAGTGAGGGAGGACTCTTAGTCAGAACTGCCTGATTCCGTAGTAATTTTGAGTTTGTCTTGCAACACTATTTGCTTATTTCCTTCCTTCGCTTTAAAGCTCGTACAGTCGTAGGCCTAGCACCTATTTGTTAGTCAATATCTCAAGAGTATTTGTTCTTTTCTAAACGGTATCGAAATATCCTATACGAGCATTTGTCCCTCAACTACTTGGCATTCAAAATCAGTGTGCCGGTCTATCGTCCAGAAACTGCTGCTAATAAATTCGTTTTAAATTATAATGCGAAAACGATAAATTCCAAATATAGTTGTATTATAGCTGACCACCATGATCAAAGTCACAGTTACACGGAACTTCATTTAAGGTGATCCGTTATACAAATGGATTGATACATCTATTTATATCCTCTACATAGACAAGTGAAGATACCGTTTACTTGATCAATACAATTTTTTTGAAACAGGTCTCATTAATTATTTGAATTCCGTTCTTCCGGAAAGTCAATTCAAGTAGAAATACATGTTGTCATTGTAAATAATAATGCTGCAGGCGGAAAAGTGTACTTTATGGAGAGCTTTCTGGGCGTTAAGCCTCACGTACCAGCCCACGCACCTTTTTATGCACACCATGTATAAATTAGCCTATGCCGATATATGTTAATGTGGGACAAACTCAATTTTGATCTAGTTAGCCTTACCCAATTGAGCCGAAATTTCTTATAGTCGTTTGGTTCTCATGACAATTCACAATAAAATGCCGCCATTTTGAATCCAAAAGTAGCGGATACTACGAAAGGGCGATTTATCATGTCCATAGTTACCGCTGTAGTATGCAAAGTCACGACATTTTAAATCCAATACGGCGGCCGCAGCAAAATGGCGACTAACAGTCACATCTATCATGTGGGTATCTAAATATGAAAGGGCTTGATGAGAGAAACCCAATAAACAAAGTGTCGTCATTGTAAATTTAATATGCTGGCCATGGCAAAATGGGAACTCATTATTCTAGTCGAGCGAGGTGATTCTAAATTCAAATAAGGTAAAGACTTTTATGAAGTATTTCGGCCGCTTGCTGTTGAAGTGTAACACGGTTTTATCTGAAAACCTACAACGAAGGAGGTTCGTATTCGTTTAAAAGTATAATATCTCCAATCGGACATTTTTTCTTGTATTTATTTCTTGAAACCCTATCAATTTTAGCCGATCACAAATAACAAATAAAATTTTATTTAAGCCTCGAGCGTAATAAGGGTTTATGATGTAGCGTCTACGTCTTCTTAAACGTTCCAGATGTTTAATGCTCTTGGCAACGTAATGTATATATTTAAACGCCCCCTCAATTGATGTTTATACACGTAAAATAATATAATTGATCCAGTCGTGGAATATACCCAGGGGAGTATATTCCGCGAAATTCATTTTATGGCGCGATATGATAAATTAAGGTGCCAGTTCTGGGAAGCAAAACAAACTTCATTCTGCAGTACCCCATACATTATAATTATTTCATGTAAACCACAGTCTAAATATATGTTCAGTAGTCTAGTTTATATTTAATATAAATATTTTCGCATCTGGATCTTGTTTCCAGAGAACATCAAGTTTCTTTTCGTCGAATTTGCTGGCGCAGCCACTCGGTCTGTGTTTCTTTCCAGGTGAAATACACCTTGGAAATATTCGTTAGCCCACTTTCCCGAATTGACGTCATTCATAAGTATGTTTGTAAATAAGTGTTCCATGTTTCTAATAAATGTTGTTGCTAAGTGATGGATTTTTTATCAGCCCCTGAAATGTTTCATTCTGTTCCCGGCATTCCAGGAATCAATTCCGAACCAATACAAGATCTTTTGTCGTACAGTCTCGTCAGGTGATCTGCTTTTTTGTTATCTGGTGGTTTTGGACAAGCTGAATTATAATTTTAGTTCCTTTCAATAGAACGGTTTCCCACATTTCTCATAATGATTCTACCGAAATACCAATGAAATTTATGGCCTTTTATCAAAGCCCGGTGATATATATAGTTAAGCATTCGATGAAAGCTTTACTAACTTTGTCGTAAACTGAGAAGTATAGATAATATGAATATTCAAAAATGTATTAATCTGCTATATAACCGCTATTCTATCAACACGTGTGTGGAACTACGATGAATAGGAAGAGATAAGTTATGGATTATATAGAAAGATACATTTATTATTTTGACCTACTTTGACACAGTAGCAAAGTTTAAGACATTCGAATAACAGCACTTTTAAGGCTTCTTGCATATTGCAGTAAACGTTCTTTCTATATATACTTAAACCACTTAAAAGTGCATGCTTTCATTGTTTTGGCTCGAAAAAACGGTGATTATCGAAGATCACAGCACCGATACGCGCATACCAAAACCAACAGGGTAGCACATAACATACCGTACGCCACTGCTAACACAGCGTACCTTTGTATCTGCAAAGTCGGTGCGCACAGATCCCAACGCATTGAAGAACATACCACGTTATCAGTGGTGTACTTGATGCTACTCTCCTTGTTTAGTACCTGCTGGGATCTTTCATGTTTTCATGGGGAGGTCATCGGCAACTCAAAGCGATTGAAGAAGGTAGTCGTACAACCCAGCAGTATTCGTTAGCAGCAGAATGTCCCAGAGTGGATTTAGGTATTGATATGAAAATTGGACAGCCGTAAAATAAGTCATGAATTGTTTCGCCTTAGTTTGATATTATAGAGATGATTTCCTTAGCTCTGACCATATCTCGAAAACCACAACACCTTTGCGACCAACATATGATTTTGTAAACTTTTGAGCATAGTTCTCGTGGCTCAGTCGGTTAGAATTCTGATGTTACCCTTCCACTATGTGTAACCCTTTGAATGAATGCATGAATGAATACAGGGTTAAGAGAAATACCTAACGTATTTTTGAAAAAGGTCAACGTCAGGTCTTTCACGACCACCTGGAAGTTAAGCAGGATTATTGATGAAAATACTCTTCTTTAGTGAATTTTAACAAGGAGTTCAATGATGCCTTGGATTCAACCTTGAACCTCACCTTCAGTCATTTGAAAGTCTACTTCTTTGTAATCTTAAAGGTGAGGCGTGAGGCCAAATCCAAGATCATTATTTGATATCCTTATTAAAGGTTACTAAAGGTCTAATCTTGACGCAATCTCGGACGTCTAATTATTTATTAGTTCTTTCGATTTTCGATGCCAAAAAGGGGGCGCTTCGATATATTGAAATGACGACTTCCTAACAGTATATAAAATCCCTACAGATCTACATAATAGATAAGTACCCTGCTTCTGTTATCATGTTTAGTGTATCGTGCTGTCTTTCATTTTATTTCCGCATTTAGTCTGTGTAAGTTACGCTATTTCTCAGAAAAATGTCTGCTAAAAATCCTTCTCCATGCTCCTACCAAATGTTGTGAAATCTTTGCGCACAAGTAATTTGTTTAATATTCGCAGGTAAAAACATTTTGACAACTTGCTTACAGTATCTGATATTTTAAACTACGTGCGGATTAATGGTGTTTTTGAAAGATTTGTAAAGCTTCATACGTTGTCTAAACAATCTAAAATTTTGAAGACGGCGCAAAAGGTTAGGAATAACATGTGTACAGCACGGGGTAATTTGATATATTGCCAAAAACGATTGACTTGTTAGTTATATTGGATGCCCCAAGATTCTTAATAGTAAGCTCCATTATAGTAATTATCATTTGAATCTGTTTCTTAGAAAAATTATTCACTATGAGTGTCCATTTTCTCAGTCTACCAAATAAAAATGTGCACCAATGCCTTGTCAAAGGGTCCTTCAGCCAATGTAGTTAACTGTTTCTGTATCAAATTGATAGATGTTCAGGTTATATCCTTTGCTTTTTTATTTCGTCGCAACAAAGTTATTTGTGCTACGAAACTGATATGTTGTATTTATCGTTTACAAATCCACATAATATCAAATATCCTAACAAACCTTACTGCAGATTATTGCGAATCCAAAATAAATTGCGGCAATCACCACGAATATTTATCCCGAAACCAGCATTGCACATCATAAATAAATGTGACCTAACTTCCTTAAGTTAACGATGATAAAATTAACGGTTAGAAGAACCTTGAAAAAGTTCGTTACTGTCTGGTGTCGCATGTGAACTGCTCCCATGCGCTGATATACAGGGGATTGAACTAAAATGATGAAATTTGAATGTTTATGATGAGATATCTTGTTGCAACGGAAGCATAGTACTCGCACAAGTTTACTGGATAAGGAAAATGGTGTCATCACACTTTCAGTGAGATCATTTCTAGATTGAGGTAAGGCTTATTTGAATCCATCTTATTCCTAGATAAATTCTATTTAAGGAATAAATGAACAAATTTGGTATAGAGCTGTTTAGATCGAAAAAAAATGGTCAGAAAACATCAAAAACTTGCGTAGAATCACTAAAGGATCAATTTGTCAAAATGTGTGAGGTATATAACATCATCTGTCGTTTTGGGAATCTTCCATCCAGAATTCAAGATGTAACTTTATTTTATCTGCCTACTTTACTACAATACGGACTGACGGTGATTATCTGAATCGAATGATCTTATAGGGTGTTTCAGTTTATTGTTGCATAACTTTAATATTCGATAGATCTTTTAAAATTAATGCATAAAGTCTATATAAACATGGGTCGAAAAATGCGTGGCTTCCGAAATACAGGGTATTTAAATTTACTTTCTAAAATAGTTTTTTTTAAATATTTCGAACAATATTTGATGTATAACAGTGAAAATTGGTATACAAGGGTTTTTTGGTACGACAAAACGAACCATGGGCATAGTTTTACTCTAGCCGCTAGAGGGCGCTCTCTACCTCTGTAGTGTATTAAAATGACCGAAAAATTTTTCTTAGTGCAATTTTTTACTTTTTGAATAAAAAAAATTATTCTTCGCACTTTTCAACATAAAAAAGCTGTCCTGTGAGTTTTCGGTATAGTTAGCCATTTTTGAAATATTTCGATTTTTCAGGTTCGATGCATTTTTAATTACTTATGGGTAAATAATATTTTTTTCTACATTTTCGATTTGGGCATTACAAATAATTAAGATGATCGTTTAGATTGTGTTTTTAAACACAGCAATAATTCCTAACTCCAAATAAACACAAAAAACGGAATATTAATTTGTTTAACTTTCCAATATTATTTTTAACAAATTAAATTAATTATTTACAACTAAAATGCTATTTAATAGTTAAGACAAACATATAAAATCTAAAGTAGTTGCTCGAAGTGTAAACCCAATTGTTCAATACACAATTCACATCTACGAATGATCGAACGTGGTATAGCATTATTCAAATAAGGCCTTATTTCATCACATGCATTCCTGATTCTGTCTATTAGCATATCTCTTGTGGTTGCGGGAGTCTGGTACACTTTTTCTTTTAGAAATCCCCACACAAAGAAATCTAATAGATTTAGGTCAGACGACTGGTCCTCCACGGCCGATCCATCTTTCTGGATAATTTTCGTCCAGCCAGTTTCTAACTATTCTTGAATAATGAGCTGGACAACCATCAAGCTGGAACCAAGCCAATCTTCTTAAATCTAACATAACATCATCCCACATATTTGCATGTTCAGTCTTTAAAAATTCCAAGAAGGTCGTAGCATTTAACCTTGCAGGCAAGAGGTAGGGTCCAAATAGTCGATTACGGTAGATACCAATCCACACGTTCACACTAAATGCATTCTGAAAATTTCTTTCCCGAACTGCATGCGGATTTTCATGCAACCAAATATGTTGATTATGAAAAATTACCACTCCACGTCTAGTGAAGCATGACTCATCGGTCCATAAAACGTTTCTTAAAAACTCCCTATTATTATCAGTTCTATCAAGAATCCACTGACAAAATGTGATTCTTCGTTCTCCGTCCCCTGGCTGTAGTCCTTGCGCAGGTTGCAAATGGTAAGGATGTCTATGGTAATTTCTAAGAACACGGTGAACATGGCTTGCTGAAATTCCCAAGGCACCAGAAACTCTCGTAACACTTGTGGTCGGATCTCTATCAAACTCATGCAGAATAATACGGGTAAATCTGCGCTGACGAACATTTATATTTTGATCTCTTTGGAGATTTCCAAAACTATTTTCAATTATTTGGCGATGCACTCTTACAAATACTGAGCGAGTTGGATGTTGTCTGTTTGGAAATCTTCGTGCGTATTCTCTGGCTGCTTCTGCTGCGTTTCCATCTACAAAGCCATACACAAAATGAATATCCGCTAACTCTTGATTGGAGAATAAAAATGGCATTTTTATAAAACTTACATAAAAAACAGGTAAAAGGAACTAAATTTCGTGCATTCACAATTGCAAAAAAACGTTTCAGGTTTTAACAGACAACAAAACTAACTGTCAACTAATTGACGTTTAACCTTATTCTGCTTCCAATTTCAAAAATATTTGCAGGCACAGCCTACTTCTAAAAATTATCGAGATACTGACGTTATTTTATCATAAATTATTAAACATGCTTCGAACCCTAAAAATCGAAATATCTCAAAAACGGCTAACTATAACGAAAATTCACAAGAGAGCTTTTTTATGTTGAAAAGTGCGAAGAATCAGTTTTTTTATTCAAACAGCAAAAAATTGCACTAAGAAAATTTTTTCGGTCATTTTAATACACTACAGGTACAGTAGAGAGCGCCCTCTAGCGGCTACAGTAAAACTATGGTTCGTGTTGTCGTACCAAAAAACCCTTGTATACCAATTTTCACTGTTATACATCAAATATTGTTCGAAATATTTAAAAAAAAGTATTTTAGAAAGTAAATTTAAACACCCTGTATTTCGGAAGCCACGCATTTTTCGACCCATGTTTATATAGACTTTATGCATTAATTTTAAAAGTTCTATCGAATCTTAAAGTTATGCAACAATAAACTGAAACACCCTGTTATATCCGGATTCCACATTATTTAGAAAAAATACATAATCTTTTATAGGACTGCCTACAAAAGCATTATTTTTATTATGTTTATACTGAAGTCTTAATTATTCTATTCTGCTTGCACTGTTTCATAAAATTGATATTCTGGATTGATACTGATCACTTTTGTATCATACATTGATGAGTTATGTCAAGATCCGTGTATCATATCTAATATAAAAAATATAATCATAATCATCATATCTCTGATGCCTGTCTCAATAAGCCAAGTTGTCACACTTTGTATAAATGATCAGGTGAAATTTGTCAACATGGGATATCCTGTGGAAATGTTTTGCAACATAGATTGATAGTTCCGGAGATGGTTGATAACCGATAATCCAACGTTTGTTGAATTGCCAAATGTAGATTGATAAGTAGAAGGATTTTAATTTAACTGAAAAAATTCTAGGTTGATACTTTTATGTGGGCTCCATACTCTTTATTATTATATTGTGCATTCTCAAGACAAGGATCCAGGTTTCACTTCACCTATCGAATAACCGTATGAGGCACTCTACATGAAAGATAGCATATACAAGCATTAGGACCGTATCGTCAGTCATTCCTTCAATTGTAGGATTGATTTTCACAGTTTTCTACTGTTCCGTATTAGCGCTCTATTTTGAGGTTATGCTACAAATATCTATTTGCATCAAATTGTTTTCATATCATATTTTATATCAGCCTGAAATTTCCTACAATACAAAAAACATAGCTTGACAATAGGAGAGCGCTGACGCTGAACGGAACAGTAGAAATCTAGAAATACCCCAGCCTTTCTGAAGGAGAGAAAATACTATGAAAATCAAGCTGGCCATAAAGGCTTCCTACAATTGTAGGAACGACTGACGATGCGGCCCTTAGACGCGGTTCGATTAAAAATGGTCCAGAAAACAGTAATTTTTTTCTACCTTAGGCATGCTTGACAATAACATACAAATCGAAGAATAATTGGTGCTTGCTGGTGTTTTATAATGCCGCATGAAATCTGTGACTGTTAGAAGAAGTCCAGTACCTCTGTTTAACTCGCTATGCTTTAGATTACTAGCCAATTCTAGCCAGGGCCGTCAATACAATTTTGGATACACCTTGTATTGTAGACAGTTGGTTTGCGGGACACACAATTTGTCTCCATCTGGATATCTGTGAAAATTCGGGCGATATCCTTGAATCGCAATTGCGTCTGCAGATTACATCGTTTTATAAGATGAACGTGTGACTCGAATACGATTTTTTATTGCTGCGGTGCGCATTTTGTTTCCGACAAAAATATCAGTAATCATACCGGATGCTGATACTTAAGTTTGTTTATTTTGAGGTATTTTTCTCGACATGATGAATTGCTCGAAAAATGCCTTGTGCCAGGATATCGCTGAAAATCACTATCAAGACGCTAGCAAACATCCAACGCATGCTATGTATGGTATTAGTAAGATTCAACTGAAAAATATTTGTCTTGTTGCCCAGCTGTGCTGCCAATTCTGAACTGAGTACTTGGTTACACCTATGGTATCAGACAACACACTGAATTGTCATGCCGACTCCATTTTCTCTCCTTTTTCTCCCGACCTGCGCCCCTTTCAGCCACAGTCCCCGACCTCTCTATATGTCCTACATAGCTTAACTCTGCCCTGCTGACCAGCAACCAATAAAATGGCACTGGAACGCCTGATCCAACTACCCTTATTATATGCGTACGCCGCTGGTGTACCTACTATCATCCAGTGGAAGGTTTGTTCCAAAATGAAGTTCCAAACCAGTTCAGAACTAATTCCGAATTATTTGTCTGCCCATGGTAGGTACAATTCAGAACTCGTCCCGAACTGTTCTGTTGGAACTGAAAGTTACATCGCTTTTAAATGAAACAAAGTTTGAAATTATAAAATTTCCATATGTTAAACGTGGAAATTGAGATAATTCGTTTTTGACATATGTACTTACTATATTTTTTAAGTTGGGATAATGAGATGGCATATTTTGTTTGTTTGTTTGAGATTTATTTAGCGTGATTGCTACAATTGCATGCTTTTTGAAAAACTACAACAATTACATAACAAGTATTCAGAAAAACAAAACTTGAATCTCTAAGAATTGTCACCGTCCATGAAATGTTCCGTTAATTTTCTTTGAAACATCTTAAAATTACCAACAGGCTTTGTATCATTATTTAGTTCATTAAATTCAAGTAATTCCTTCTGGAATATTGATTTGCTAGTTATATTACTATTTTCATCTTGTATAATATATGTGATAATAATTATTCAGTTCTATGCAATGTTCTAAATGTTGTGCCAAAAGATATTTTTTTTTTATTTTAAATATGAAAATAAGAATCAAATATGTAACAGATATTTTATTTTAGTATACTTATTTTCATTGATTATTGCGCTCAGAGTTTTATTTTGAGAATACAGTTTCACTGGCAGTGAACAAGATAGTTGATATGTTGATAGTAAATGTGGAAGAATAATATACTATTTTGTTGGAATATGTACTAAGACTATGAGAAGCCCTTTAAAAGTAATTTTTTTTTTGCAATTTTAACAAGAGAAGGGAGCTTTGTGAAATATGTTAATTAAATACTACGAAGTTTTGTCTTTTTAGAGCTGAAAGGATTAAGAATTCATCAAGGAGCTGGGGACGATCAAGACTCGAAAGAGTCACGAACGATGACATCCGAATGCAGATGCAGGTGGATAGACATGTACACGAAGTCATAGAAAAAAGATAGTTAACTTGGTTCGGGCATGTAAAATGGATGAACGCGAACAGATAGCCCAGGAAGGTTGTGGAATGGATTCCACCAGGAAAAGGGAAGATGGGTCAAGAAGGAGCTGGCGAGATGACATTGATCAAGCGATGACCACGAGCAACTTAGAGGCAGAGGAGGTTTTTGATTGGAAAAGATGGAAATTGGGGATGGAGAGACGGCAGCAGCTGTAAAAATATCCGTTACGGAATCAATTCCATTTTTTGGTGGACCGGTGATTTCGATCTGCTCATACTCTGTGTAGTTCAGAACCAGTTCGATAGTTTGCTGGAACAAAGCTGGAAGTGCAATGATATAGTGCTTGGTTGCTATGACAACATAATAAACGTTCACGTTACGCTGTCTCTCTTTTCTAAACAAAAAGACCTGCTGTACCCGTACACCACTGACGAAGCGATCAGCAACCAATGAAATTGCAATGGTGCGGCTAATATGTAGGCCATTGAATAACAGTGTTTCCTGCCAGCTACCTTCATATTTTAATTGGCGGATCCCACGTTGGTCTGGCAACGATCACCGATGCACCGATCAGTTCTGAAGGCTTGCAATGAGACTTCGCGAAAGTGTTTTTATTTCTCATAACAAGTGATTGAATGAGACTGGATTATCTAAGTAGTTATCGTCACGTCGTGGTCATTGTCTCAATACTTTACGACATAGAATAATTAATAAACTTCCGATGAAAAAAAGACAATTTTGGGCGTTAATTCTAAATAGAAAGTGGTGTATATGTACACCATGCTACCTTATGTAATTCTTGAAACTTACTAAGCCATTTAGCTTTTATAGAGGATTATGCTGTCTCATGTTGGACCGTTTTGGGCATGCTGACCAAATACAGAACCTCTTCACACTGACATTGAACGGATACGGAACCTCTCCACATTGACCTTGATACTGAGCGACTTGGAACAGCGTAACAGGTTAATAACAGCTTGTCAGAGCCAAAAAAAACTTCAGCAAAGCTTCTTGTAGGACAATAAGCCCACTTACTAACTACAAAACTAAATTCTCTACACAAATGCATATAACATGTCAACTGAATGATGGCGATATCATATCCACCGCTTCAGACAGCCACAGACTATGTACGAGAAATGGGCTTGTTACTATTTGTATTGTTCTTCAGCTTTCAGTAAAATGGCTCGCCTTAGAAAAATCTCGAATGTGCGCAGAAGCTAGATCGATAGGTCAATGAACGTAATCAGACATAAAAAAAAGTAATTAATATGTTTTTAGTCATTATCATCCTTTTGTCAACATTGCGAATATGATCTTCCCAATTGCAACCCTTTACTGCTCTTAAAAATTCCATTTCGACCGATTGTATGCGACGTTTGTCGCATTTTTTGATGACTCTCTCATATTATCGCAACTGAGATATTTGATTACACATATCTGTTCTATAGTTGTGATTTTATACTGGTTCGTTTCCTATGAAAACCATGACTTTTGTTTTGGACGACGATATGACAGTTATACTGGTAGTAATATTATTCAGTAGATGCATAGCCACTTGGAGGTTGTCTTCAGAGGAAGAGAAGATCATCAGCGAACAGTGATCTTTTAGGGTGTATTTGAGTCCCTTTAGGTGCGGTTTCTTTCCATCATCTAACGATATCGTCAATATACATGTTGAATAGAGGCTGAGACAGAATCTTGTCATATACCATAATGGATGTAAATCTCCTTTACACCGTCGTCTCTATTCATGTCGTTCAAAATTGTTGCAGTGTTTCTGTAAATACTTTTGATGACTTTTATAAGATGGTCAGGAATCCCCCTACATGTGGGATATACGTTTAAGTATATCCCACAGTTTTGCTCTTATGACTCGATCAAAAGCCTTCGTAAAATTGTTAAGTTGGTAGGTTTTGCTGTCTTCTTTTTCTTAATGATTCGTTGAACTATAAAAACACAATTATTACAGGACCTTTCCCTTCTAAACCTATGTTGTTCCTCCAAAAGAAAGCTTCCTGTTGTCATTTCCATTCTAGATGATAACATTTTTGAGCACATGTATTGGGTGACAAAACACCTACGTATGTTTATCCGATTTTAATAATTTTTGTCATATACAAGTATGTTCAGTATCCCTTACTAGTAAAATGATTAAATTTTCAGCTTGATTCGTCAACTGACTACAGAAGCTGATTCAATAATGTGTTGAGGATTCAAGATTTCTTATACACTCATTGATATGCCTGGGCATCGTACTGATAAGATGGTCGATATTCTGTTGGGGTATCTAATTCCAGGCTTCTGCAACTTCGTGAGTAAGAGCTACCAAAGTCTGTGGAGGGTGTGGCAAATTCAAGGGCCTGCGACCTATCATGTCACTCAGTATATATTTTATAGCCTATAGTTGTGTTTTCTATAATAGAAATACTGGAGACTAGCAATATCCATTCTGTGTGAATTTTACGACTTCTGTTGTACAGTTTGAGGTATAAACAAGGAAACATCGTGTGGTTCTAGAAAGTTTTAACAAAAGATGGAATATTCCAATCAATCCAAAATGGAATGTAGATGAAATGAAGGAAGAAACAATTTTGGCGATCAAAGATAACCAGCCACCAGTTAGCGAACGCCAACGGTCGAGACGGGACCTTGGTTGATTCGTTGACCGCCACTGGCCAACGGCCCCACAGCTGTTATAGTCCAGTCAACTTTTTCACATAGCAATCTATATTATTTGTTTTGGAATTAAAACTTTGTCACAATTGTTCTACTCGGCCATTAGCACTTGACTAGCGCCAAGCAGTGTGATTTCTGACATCAATGATCATCTATGCCTCAATCTATCGTTTGCTATAATGAACGTAAAATCGACAAAAATGGAGTTGGACTAGTTCTTCATTAGAGCGGTGATACAATGAAAAATAAAAGACCTAAGATCCAAATTGGCTTATTCTCGTTAGACAGATCACAAAAAAATCAAATTATTTTATCTTCTAGTGCCTGTCACAAACTCGATAAACGTCCCCAAATAGCTTAGCAGTTTTCTATAGAAGTTTCTAGTTTCATATCAGACTCACTTAGAAATGTGAACCTGGGGAGAGCATACCTCAATTTTTTAACCAGAGGTCGTATGGCATTAACTTTGCAAATAAACTAATACAATCTAATTGATGACGTAACTGCCTGAGAAGTACAGATTCAACCTACTTGCGGTCATTTCTTCCTATGGTTTGTGTAGTAGGTATACTTACTCCTACTCTCATTTCTTATCAAACACATACCTCTATCTTGTCCTTAGTCTGCTCACCACAAGTTAGCCAGATGCCAAATAATGCGAAGAGACTACATATTTTCTCACTCTAGCAAAGCATATCACGATGGCGGCCAGGAAAGTACAGAGAATACATAACATCTAGACTAGAAGAAAGGCGAGTTTGTCGTTTAGAAACTTTTTTGACCATCTTGTCTCGCCTCGCTCAGAACGCAGTTGCCATATAAGTGCTACTGATCCGACTTCTCTCTCGAAACTTCATATGGCTATCCAAATAATGGAAAGCACTTCCTGGATACTGTTTAGGGTGAGGGTCTAAGAGTTTCTCACATCCTACATTACTGTTAAAATATAGACTGAAATGACTGGTCTAAAATATCTAGAAATTATCTTCAACGAGTGTAGGCTTCCATTGTTTTTTCTAAAACTAATATCTGCTAATTATGTCAATGTTACGGGTGTTTACAACATTGAATTACCGCT